AAAGTAGCACAGTCAAATCCTTGATGTGACCGTAGATTGTGGTTCCTAGTGGCTCAGTGCCTAATTTCACTCCATAGTTCTGCCACCTGCTATAATTTATGCAAGTTACATAACATTTCTGATCTGTGAAATTAGTATATTGATAGTACAACTACACAGGGTATTTTTCAGGATTAAAAGTGAATTTTTTGTAAAAGATTTAGCCTTTTATAGAATCTATATATGTTACAAGCACACACACTTTTCCCCCTTCTTTTTCTATTTTCTGGTACTTACACACCCCACCCCCGCATAAGATTTGCGACATAGTGACAATGGTTAACACTTTCAGCTGCTAACTGGGAGGTTAGAGGTTTAAGTCTACGCAGAGGTGCCTTTAAGGGAAAGCCTAATAATCTACTTCCCAAAATTTGGCCATTGGAAACTTTATGATGGAGAATTGTTCCATGATACACATGAAGTTATCACAAGTTGGAACTGACTGGCTATTATTTCTGGTAATATCCTTGTGAATGCAACATTGTATTACACTAATTTGAAAAAGCGGACTCCTGGTCTTGTAGTGGTTACACAAAGATAGGTCAAAGATAGCAGTTCAAAAACATCAGCTGCTAATTTCTAATCCTATGAAGAATCTATCTTTTTTTTTAAGGTGTAGTGACTTTTTTTTCTTTTTTAATCATTTTATTAGGGGCTCATACAACTCATCACAATCGACGCATACGTCAATTGTGTAAAGCACATTTGTACATTCGTTGCCCTCATCATTCTCAAAACATTTGCTCTCCACTTAAGCCCCAAGCATCAGCTCCTCATTTTGCCCCTCCTTCCCCGCTCCCCCTTCCCTCTGATCCCTTGGTAACTTATAAATTATTATGTGTCGCATGAGGAGTCACCGTCGGGAAACCTACAGGGACAGCTCTCTCCGGTCCTGCAGGGTTGCTGTGGATCGGAATTGGCTCCATGGCGGTGAGATTCTGGAAAAGATAAGAGCAAATAAGAAAGATTAAAGTCATAAATTACTTCAGTAGATAATAACCCTATTGGCATTTTCTCTTTGATAAATTTAATGTAATGTTTAGTGTTCCTAAGATATGGCCCAAATATTGTCATAATTGTTTTAAGAGCATGTCTGAAGAGTGATGAATGCATGCCTAAACAATGGAGATAATTTCAAATGAAACTACATTTTTTCCTTTATATTATGTTTAAAAATTTAATCATTTCAGATTATTCATGACCTTTGTACACATTACCCTAGTTAATCTAGATTTGGCAATGGTTATGTATAAAACTGACATATTTGTAAATGAAATAATTTTGCAATCACTTTTATATTATGGGAAGGCAATTCTACTATATAGTATAATGTAGAAACACACAATTAATATATATCGCTATTTAAATTTTTATTGACCTTCATAATGTTTGCATTGCTCAGAAAATAGCAAATCTACTCCCTTCCTTTCAAAGACTATTAATTGTGCATGGAAGTTCAAAGCTTGATAGTTCAAAGATTAAAATTAGTTCATTTTAATTTATTTAAATTTTGATTAAATTTAATTTTTCACAGATAATTTAAACACATCTCTTTTACACGTAAAAAGGCCTTTGCCAGTTGATTTGTGCACAGAAAATTTGTCAGACAATTTGCACTCGACAGCAGTCCTACGACATATTATGTTGCGTGTTTGCCCCCTTGGTAGTCTCAAAAACTATTTTATCATAAGGGGACTTCTGAATAGCATGCAACTTAACAATAACATCATGCCAGTAAATAAATAGAAATTAGTTCATCATACTAGAGAGCAATTTGATTGGCCTTCATGAAATCAGTAGAAGTCCCCGAGTAGTGTAACATTTGTAAAGACAAAAACCAACCAGCAACAAATCAGTAGGCAACGGTGTCCTCACTGAAACTCTACTGTACACAAAGCAGTTGAAGTTAGGCTTAGCATTTTTTAAATTGCCCTATATGGAGCCCTCAATATAAAGGTAGGTTATAATTTATGGTATGCATGCTTTCTTTATTGTGTGGAATTTATAACACATTTTTCCTTAGAAATAATGGAATAAGTGGTAGTGATAAGGACCCCAAACTTAATCTTCTGCAGATGAACTCCAGTGTCTGGCAGTATTATTTATGCAGAGAAGGAAGATGTGTCTCCCCACTCTCACAGCTTCATTTCCCTTTCCTTTGCAGATTCTACCTCGTGATAAGGAAATATGGGAGTAGCAAGCTATCTCCCTTCTTCCTCTTTCCTTACTTCCAGTTACGAGGCAGCCATAATAATTGAAGGCACACTTTTCAGAGCTTTGGTGGTAGCCTAACTTTAACCATATGTAGCCAAAGCTGAGTGTCCACCAGATGAAAAGTATATCTATATAGCTGTCCTGCAGCATTTCTCTCAGGTGCTACCTACATATGTGATGAGATGGTGATTCAAGTACAGATTCTCGGTGTGGCCATGTGAATGCTTTCTCTCATCCATTATCTCCTGCTTCTACTTAAAGGCTATCTTGTGTGTGTGTGTATGTGTGTGGTCTTTTCATGCTAAACACAGCCTTGATGATCAAATAATAAAATAATGGATAATTGTTTGTGAGTCTAGGTAGTTTCTGAAATATAGATTCTTAGAATCCAATGACCAAAATTTCTGATTCAGTCAATCTGGGCTGAGACCCGAGAATCTCCATTTTTAACCAAACAATCCAAATGATTTGGGCATAAGATGATCCTGAGATCATATTTTGAGACATAATCAGGTAGAGACAGATTCTGATTTACATTACCCCTCAGGAAACATGTATTACTCTGATAATGAACCAAGACTGACCTTTCTATTAAAACTCCATCTCTCCAGTTAATAAAAATTGTGAATTTGGCACAGGGGTTAAGCATTGGGTTTCCAAACCAGATAGCACCAGCCACTCCACAGGAGAAAGACGAGGCCTTCAACTCCTGTAAGTAGTTAGAGTCTCAGAAACCCACAGGGCCAGTTCTATCCGTCCAACAGAGTTCCTGTGAGCTGGAACTGACTCGATGTCAGTGAGTGGAGTTTTGATTCCATGTCCCAGTGCCTCAGAGTTCTCATCTGTGCAGTAAGGATACTGATGATACCTCTTTTGCTATATAACAGATAGTAGCAATATGTCGGGGATTATATTAGCTAATATATTTAAAGGATCTAGGCATAGTGGAAGCATTCTCAATGAATTATTGTTACTATTTTATCCTTTTGCCTTAATCCAAATGATTTATTATTTATGCACATATGTGCCATGTCAGGACTTAGTTTATCATTAAATATTTGGTCAACTATTATCCCCTTTAGAAAGTCTTGGCTGACATACAAACTAATCTGTGCCCCAGAATTACCTTTCTTTGTGGGCCCTTTCATTTCATTCATTGCATCATATGAAACGCTTGTATTGTTCTGACTGTTTCCCTCATTGGCCACAAGCCTTTTAGAGGATTAGGACTACATTTTGCTCACAGTTGTTTCTTGAGCACTATGCACCTTGGCTGGGACACTACTGTTCTAAGGAGACCAGTAAGATAAATTCCGGACAGTGGTCGTGTCTTGTGCGTGTCCTGGCTGAACTTCCCCAGCAGTGAAGAAAACAGAAAAGGCAGAAATACTGGAAAGAGGTCATTGGGCACCAGTTGCCATTAAGTTGGCCCTCCATATGTGCAGAGTAGATCTGTGCTTCATAACATGTACAGTGGCTGGTTTTTCAGTAGTAGATTGCCAAGCCTTTCTTTAGAAATGCCTGTAGATAAACTCATCCTCCAACATCCTTTTGGTTAACACCGAAGACCCAGGAACTCCAAGCAGTACTTAGGTGAGCTGTCATCAAATGGGCCCTTGACTCATGGCAACCCCATGCACCATGAGATCGAACCATTGCCATCCATAAGCTTTTCGTTAGCTGGATTTGGGAAGTAGTTGTCTCAGTCTGAACGTTCCTCTGAAACCTCCACCGTCGCAGCACCCAGCGTCCGTGGACAGACAGATAGAAGCTGGGCTTGAGGTTTATTAGCTGCCCGTCAAACCTGGCTCTGAGGTATGAAAGGCACGAGTTCTTTCCTGAACTGTTCGTTAGAGAAATATCTATGAGCTGAGTGGAATATTGCAAAATTTGTCCTTAAAATATGAAAACATTGTCAAGTTCATAACACCAGCTTAGGAGCTTCAAATGTGGGACATCAGTCTAAAACCATGAGTAGGCCACTGGAGATCCCCTTGCAGAGGGGTCTCGGGGAGGAGACAAGCCAGTCAGGGTGTGATGTAACAACGATGAAAAATACAACTTTCCTCTAGTTCCTAAATGTTTCCTCCCCGCTCCCACTATCATGACACAAACTCTACCTTGCAAGTCTGGCTAGACCAGAGGATGTACACTGGTACAGATAGGAACTGAAAATACAGGGAATCCAGGGCGGATGGGCCTCGGGGAGGAGACGAGCCAGTCAGGGTGCGATGTAGCAACGATGAAAAATACAACTTTCCTCTAGTCCCTAAATTTTTCCTCCCCTCTTCCACTATCATGACACGAATTCTACCTTGCAAGTCTGGCTAGACCAGAGGATGTACACTGGTACAGCTAGGAACTGGAAATACAGGGAATCCAGGGCGGATGATCCCTACAGGACCAGTGGAGTGAGTGGCGATACTGGGAGGGTAGAGGGAGAGT